ATAGGGACAAAAAGTTCTCATAACACTCCTAGGGGGCAAAAATGGCCAAAACCAAAAAATTGGGGATCGCTAAAACTTTAGACATAGTCAGTTTGAATAGCCAATCATGTAGAGGATGTCATGGAGGTCATGGTTGAATAGGGGCAAAAAGTTCTCATTACACTCCTAGGAGGACAAAATGGCCAAAGACCAAAAAATTAAAAAAAAACTTATTTCGGCTTAACTCCGCCTCCTACGGAGCTTCTTACACAGTTTTTACTGACCGCATCCCACTTGTTTCTAATATATAAAAAATATTTTTATCTGTTCGTATTTAATGCGCTGCCACACCGTTCATTAGATTACGATTAAACTTTGTCAAGTTATTGCTTGCACTTCTTGTGCGAAGGTTATAGACATAGTACAATTAACTTACAGTAGGTGGCGCGCGTATCGTACCGAAAAAAATACTTGAAAGTTTATTATGTTATTCAATTTCAATGAATGTACTATCATTCGTAATCAAACAACACAACTCTTTCAAATTTAAAACGATATTTCCACAATTATTTCTTCTGGGGCAGCAAGGCGCCCCTTGTCCCTTGTTAAGTTATAATTGAAGTTTTATTTTATTTGAATCCGTTTCTCAAGTTACTTCAAAAATTAACTAAGTATTTTACTTCCAAATTTATACGCGAACGTGTACGGTTGTAAATCTTGTTGTACAATAATGTAACGTGCCAGAGCCATAATACAATCAGAAGTGTACAACCCAAGCATCCTGATGTTTGCTTATCCGTTCGATAAGCAAACATCGGTTTACGTCAAACGCAAGTCCATCGCGCGACCATTCATTTGACCGCTATTAAATTACGAACAGAGGCAATATTTTTATTCACAACGTAAGTTTGCTCTTACAACGGGAATATCGATGTAGACAGTCGCAATGATCTTCACAAATATAGAGGCGGTTGTTTGTCTTCACATGGGATAGTTTAGTATAATGACACCTTTTCTGCCTTTCTACGGTTGGGTGCCGATTTGTGGGGTAATAAAGTCAATATTGTCATGGTTACATGGGACACGGTGCATGGTAAAACGTCGAGCCATTTTGGCAAAAACCGAAGGTGATTTTTTTGGCCGAAGGCGGCCGAAGCAGAAGCAGAAGCTTCGAGCGGACACTAACTGTCACGCATCCCTTCTGAAATTAATAAATTCGACATTAATTTCAGGAGACACGGAGAGACCCATGTCAAGCAGTGGACTGTTTAGGAGTTAACATGTAAAGACGAAATATAGTAACTACAATGTAATATTAATAATTTATAAAAAATAATTATATATTAAACTCTATAAACAGCGTACTCACGTTATGTTTATTTTATAAGCGGCATGTTTGTATATTTCTTATAGGTATTTAATACGATGTTCGTTTCGTGATTTTAATTTACCATGCAATTTGCTACATCTTATATAATAAAATCAGATGAGTTTATACTCGTATTTTTTCAGATTTTAAGAATCGTGCTTAATAAAAACATCTATTATTTTATGCTAGCCAACACTAGTGCTAGTCGTGCGACTAGTTCATTCATTCATTATAACCTGACAAAAGGCCACTGTTAAACTTAGCGAGGGGGAAGGGGGGGGGGGCTTAGGTTGGCTCATAAAATATCCCCATATTTGCAATAAGTAGTTGTAACGCTTAGCAGGAAGTTTTTTTGAAGTTATACTTCTTTTAGGGCGTTTGGGAAAAATTATGATAGCGATTTTTTTTACGATGCGCGCGCACACCGACAGCTAAAAACGACACCATGAAGTTGTTAAAATGCATGCGCACACTGACACCTCAAAGCCACAACTTCATTAGGTAACTGTCTCTCAAGTTTTCTTGGTAACTGAGAACTATATTTAAGGTACTTATTTTTGTGTTGTTACGCTAAAGAAGTATAACTTCCTACGTGCGTATATAAGTACACACACACGCACACGTTTTTTTTTAAATTTCCTAGTTGTTATTAGAAAGACTGCTGCCCAACTCCTAATTTGTATCCCTCTACGACACCCACGGGGTGAAATGGGGTAGACTAGATTTTTTTATAGAATGACATCTACGTTCATCCGCGATTAAGAATCAAAATGCAGATGTGTTGTCACCCCTAAGGAATAATATGGAATGCTTCGTTTCCATTAGAAAGGATCTCCGGTTATACGAAACACAGTAGCATGAAGCTGCAATTTTACGCTGGTATTCTGTGAGAGCGTGGCTCTACCTCGTATAAAGTAGTTATTCAATATAATCATATTATCTTTTATCACATCTACAAACATACAAACCCAAAAGCCCAAACAGTTATTTGTAGGCCGTACTTTGTTTGGTATTCTGATTTATAATTTAATTAATTTTTTATCTGACTTAGTAAGACATGCAGGATGTCGATGGATGCAAGTGCAGGTGGCTCAGGACCGTGTTTAGTGGCATTCCATCAGGGAAATTAAACATAGTGAAGAACATTAGGGATTCCAATCCGGAATAACGGATCCGGTAATCCGGCGGATCCGGCATCGTTTAACGTTTACAATTTTTAGCAAAATAATAGAGCTGTTGCATGAGTAGGTACTTTAAATAGGTGGTAAAAGTGATTCGACCCTGTTAACTGCAGAAACAACACTAAATTTTGTTTTAGAGAAATTGCTCACTCATGACACGGTGTTAAGTACTGAATTATATGCAGCACTGCGTTCAAGGATTAAAGAACGCCGCACTGTAGTAACAAAAATATTAATATACATACAGAATCCAAAGAAATATCATAAAAATTTAAACTGATTTGTGATACATTTACTATGCCAAAGAAAAATGCCATACGATTAGAAATGACAAAAATCTTAGAAAGAGTTATTCAAGATGATAACTCTAAAGTAAACATGGAAGAAATAGTAGAAAAGAACTTCGATTCACTTGATCCATTGATTCAATTTGATCACTAAAGAAAGATTTGACATTACAGGAAGAATTACAATTACAAATCTAGCAAGAAACCACGTGTTATACTGTTATAGCATACATATTAAAAAGAGAAAGATTTTGATAAATTACTTAAAAAGGAAATGACTATTTTTGAAAGTGACGGAGTTCGAGGAGAATACTAAGTATTCTCCTCTGCTATTCATAATTATTTGCTGACAATAAAGCCGACAAGTGTAAAAGCTGTAAGGGCCTTTTCGGCCGCAGGCTATATTTGCAGCTCTATTAGAAGTCGACTAGCAGATGACACAATTAACACTATTTGTTATCTACGATCCTTTTTTCAAAATCTAAATTGATTTTCTTATAATATATAACGAATACTAAGACAATTATTATTTAAAATTCTTCCTAAAATAATTATTTATTGTAAGTTGATTACACTAAGAGAAATATATAGAAGAATTATAATACAAACTCATTATTCTGATAATTGTGCCATTCATTAGAGAGATTCATCAAATCATGATGATGTCTGTCATAAATATGAGACGATTGTTAACATTCTCAAATACTTTAATAATTATTGTGAAATCTAATCTCATATCAGTAAAATACCGTAAGGTTAATTATATTAGGTTTTATAAAGTTACTTACTAAAATAATTGATCTATTTGTCAAAGTAAAATCTAAGAAGACTGAGCTACTCCTTACATCGTTAAAATTTTACTAGCTACCTACACTACTAGATTTTAATTGTTTGCTCGTTGTCTAATCCTAACATTGGTATTCGTAAATTTGATTTTGTGTATGTACATGTTTTATTTTTTATAAACTACCTATATTACGTACAATAAAATCATTCTGATTTGATCAATCCGGCCGGACCCGGTTAATCCGGCCGGACTGAAAATGACGCCGGATTGCAATCACTAAAGAACATAGAGTTCAGCAGAGGACTTGCGAAAAGCTTGAATGACTGAATTAATGAATTTGATTTTGTTATTATCAGTGGCACGTTAAGAATGTTTTGCTACAGACAAAGTTATCTTTTTAAATAATAAACAGATTTAGTCATAATATATCCGTCCGGTGCGGTGGACACAGTTATGTCTAAGTTGTGAGGTTACGATTTTTGCACATTCAGTATTTCTGTGACTTTTTCTTTACCTGACCGGTGATTGTGATCGCTGAAGACAAAGATGGAATGCTATTTATTCTAGCTCTCTCACACTTGAAACTGAAACACTTCAGGGTGTCCAATGTTAATTAGTGGGAAAAGGTAAATAATGAGGGCGGGGAACCAACATAGAAGGACTTCTAGGCAGTACAGAATCTCTAGATTATTTTATGAACAGTTTAATAAATGACCAAAATTCCTGCAGGTATTCAGTGAATGTAAGCTGTAAAATATCAATTTTTCACTAGTTTACCAGCCCATAAAAGTCCGTTGCTTTTAACAGGCCAATAAAATAACATTAAATGCAACAAATATTTGCCTCCTCATAATTCATTGTAAATCCAACATAAGGTAATATGTAAATAAAATAGGGCAAGGAAATGTCCGACGCGCTGCGCCGATGCGTGTTGGCAAACTTCATATTATGTCTTAAAAATATTTTTTTAATTTTCGGATATACGGGTTTTCTCGCGTTGTTTTCATTCACATACACAGCACTTAAAAGTGCAATTAACAATTACATTAGTGCCAACGGGGATCGAAATCGAGTTGTTCGCGTAATGTGAAATTTACAACGAGCGCTCAGTCCCTACGCTGTCTATACGACTCTAAAGATGAGTAAAATTTATCAAAACCTCGCAAAATATATTTGGATTTACCTAAGCCACTGCCAAGATGTACTGATGCAGGTACTGATATAATTAACGCGCTATTTTTTTTCCTTTAGGAATAATTTACAATTGGTTATCCATATCCGTGCGCGCAATATGCTTAAAAAAGTGGTACAAAGTTTTCATTTCACGTATTAATGTGTAGATAATAAAATTAATATGTAGATAAGTATTTTTATAAGTATTTTTGTATTGTGAGCAGCGAGCGGCGCGCTCGCAGCCGGCACCATTGCGTCTCCGTGGAGCGCGGCGGCCGGCGCGCCCGACACCAACGGCTCGGGCGGCGCCGACGCCAAGCATCTCGACGTGGGCGACGCCAGTGACGATGAAAAGGTAAACTTCATTACTTTTTTTTATAAAATAAGGGTGACAAAACGAGCACACCGTCCCCATAGACATCTACATTTAGATTAAGAATCAAAATGCAGATACGTTAACACCCCTGAAAACTAAGATGGAATGCCTCTTTTCCAGTAAAAAGGGTCTTCGGTTCTCTACTCTCACCATACAAAACACAGCAGCATTAAGCTGCTATTATACGCTGGTATTCTGTGAGAGCGTGGTCCTAGCCCGGTCGAGCTGACCCATTCATGCTAAAATTTAATATAGTTGCAGCGTGGCTCTCTACCGCGTATATTTCTTAAATTTTTGAGGCAAATCACTAAATTGTCAGTACATAACTGACAATTTTATATGTTTTATATCTTCTTTGAAAAAATACCAAAATAAAATTATGCCTTTTAATAATCATCAACATTTATTAATGAATATTGATATTGAATAGTTTTTTAACTATATAGATTAGTCTTAAACACAGTCTTTTGTTTGATTGAATTAATTTGTTAAAAATACCGGAATTCAAATATTGTTTTTATGGAGGTATAAAAACAATATTTGAATTATCGGTATTTTATCTATTTTAATCACAGAACAAAAAATTAACATTTAAATAATAATCAAATAAAGATTGATTTTTCTTTTAACTAAAGTGTTTACAAATATGAAGAATGGATGAGTTCGCAAAGTACTCGGCCTTGTATCAGCTCGACTTAGAAATATTGGACGGTTAGTAGAAAAATCGCGTGAGATTTAAGTAAGTAATTAATTTTTAGCTATCGATAGAGAATTGTATCACAATTCATGAAAGGCATTATATAAATGGTATATGTTTGATATCTGGGATTACTTACTACTTTTTATTTTATTTATTTATTTAAGGACTGTACTATATCTAGTGTGTAAGTAGCATTTGCCAGATACGTGATTTCTCGAGTTCTCGACCAATTTTTTCTCGTCCTGAATAAGGTCAAATTTCTCGAAAATTCCCGTTTCGAGAAATCTCGTTGACAAACCCTAATTTCTTCATCTACAGCTGTATTGACAGTTTTACGATTGACGTTTGATGGCTCCGTGGGGCATATCCCCGCACGGAACAAGTTAGTATATGTAATGATATAAATATATGTTCCGGGTCTGGATGTTTGTCCTTGTGCAATTTGTGTATGTAATTGGCAGCAATGCGATACAGAAGAAAATCCGAGCGTGAGGGAATGTTTCTTTATTAAAAATAAATAACATGTAATCAAGAACAGCTCGTCGATATACGTTAGTTGGATACCACAGGCAGATGAAGTTGAAACATAGAAAAAAAATTTTTGGAACGGAGTTCCTTATCGCACGGTTCGAATTTGGCGGATATGCGAGAAAAAGTGTAAGATTTTTCCGTCACGACCCCTTTTGTACAGTGCCAGTGGAATAATATCCATCTCCCTCGTACTTTTTCTTATCTTGCAATGAAAGAAATATTATTTTAAATGACTCTTCATTTTAACAGACGTTAGTAATTCATTTAATTGTATTTGTTAATCAATAATATAATACGTTTATCAATAATAATATACTAAGAAAGGTAGGTACTTTGTTCCAAGCGAGTGTTACACGACACTCACGCATGTTTTTTTTAAAAATATTTTAAACTTTTATACATAACGCGGACACGGCACCGTCGACCGAGTACGGGCGTATAAAACATTAATTGTTACGGAGATGCCTGCCAATGTAGCGAAAACAACCGAAGCGAAATTAATTTATACATGTCGAACTGATCATAGCACTTGGTACTTTTATAGTTTACTTTCACACCTTTATTACTTTATTTTTATAACAGATTTAAAACTAAAATAATTTGTCAAAACAATGTAGGTTTCAAGTTTTGTTGAATAACTTTTGCTTATTTACGTTCAATCGACACATACTCTATTCTTATGTGGGCATATCTTTATGATGTAGGGAAGTTATGCAGCAGGTAACTTATGTTGGATTTCTTCAGGATAAAATCTAGCGGTGTTCGTCTTCTCTCGTTCGTTTGTTAGACTATAGAGAAACCTTTCGTACACAGCAGTCCAAATGGCGTTTCACAACGTGGTAGTACATATATAGGCTTTTTGGCACCCACGAATTGGTTTGATAGCTTCTCTAAAACCTCCACTATACGAAGAAAAGGCATAATAATTGGTTCTATAAATATCCGTCTCATATCTTGTCACAGACGAGAACATATTTTTAAGCAATGATTATGTCCATACCTGTGTAGTACCTACTATACAAATTCCGTCCCATTTCAATATCGACTCTCCAACATAAGGCTCTTCCGAAAATAGTACACTCAGCGTATAATTCCCATTTTACCCTTCTATCATTGGGCTTATGACAAAACCGGGACTTTTCAGTTAACATTACTTTGCAGTAAGCACCACCATCATCGTTTTGGTGTATAAGAGCAAAGCTAGAACGAGCTATCTGTAGCAAATAAGTATTCCATCAGCACAAATTCTTCTCCTCATGTTTTTGGTTCTACTCGTAAATGTCACTTGTCCAACTTTCCAGCAAATTAAGTGACTGCTTACAATAAATCTGTCGCGTATCGACCCTTGCTGTTTACTATTTTTCGATTTTGCCCTTTGCGTCTCGTATACGCTCCACTCTGCCGGTTACTGAAATTGAAGTGTTTTAGGCCACTTTTTTGTAATTGTAACCAATTTCGATAAGAGTTACAACTCTGAAGAATTATAATTTCAAATGATGTTTACAAAACAGTAACATTAGTTTTAGGAAAAATATAAAAATTACGATTAAAGTCCTTTTTGAAAATTATATCATATATCATATACAGGCTTGTGCGTAACAAGAATATATTTAAATAATAAATGTAACCTTTTTGCGCCACGTGTGTACCTACATTGAATTTTTTGTTATTAAAAACTAAATTTCAGATATTAACCATGTTTTACTGCTACACAATATGTATGTGTGTGTGTGTGTGTGTGTGTGTGTATGTGTCTCTATTTTCCTGCGTAGTTGTATATGTAATATTGTTTGTGTTATATTGTCTTTCTTTTTGCAAAGAGCAACATGTGCCATCGGCGGCGCGGCGGCGGACCGGAGGGTAGTAGCCATACGCAGGCGTTGTGCTCTGTCAAAATATAAGTCCACGCGTACAAGGAAACTAGTTACAGCTGCACTGTTCACTAGACTAAATCTAGTTGCGTTATTCAGCCGAATTGACGTCCTACAAAAATGCCGAATTCAAATCACGTCAAATTTACAAAAAGATGGCGTTACCATTTATATATCATCATCATCATTACATCCTTTTACAAGTCAACTGCTGAACATAGGCCTCCTCCAAGGATCGCCAGAAAGCACAGTCCTGAGCCACCTGTATCCATCGACTTCCTGCATGTCTTACCATATATAAGTAATTTACTTCTTTTTAAACTTAAACATAACAATAATAACGGTAGAGTCGTTTTGGATTTGCTTACCAACACAGGCCGCTCGCCGTCATATTTTAATATGCGGATCAGCCGGGCGACTGGTCCGAGTCTATCCAAGTTGTCGCTGTCACCGAGCGATAGTGTTCAAATGTATCTGTGCGTGTGTGTGTGAAACTGTTAGTATATTGTTTTAATTTTTATGTGTGTGTTTCGTAGTGACAGACGACTGTTTTTCTGTGCGCAGATTTCCCCCCGCAAAAAATGACATATACCTAGTCCTATATCGGGAAAAAACGCTAGGGCTACTTCCCTCCGATCCGCCGGTGGCCCGTGTTGATTTTGTTCTTTTTGTCTTCGCAATTTCATTCTAGTAACAATTTTCAAAAATTTTTGGCAATTAACAAAACAAAACATTACTCTAAGACACTTCTTCGAATCGAAATGTAAAATAATCGAGGACCGTTTTACATGGCACATAAATTAACATAACAACACGCTTTACTCTGTAAAGGCTAATTTATTTTGATGCGCGCATAATATCCAAATAACAGGTGGTATAATATTGAGCATTAGTAATTCGGCGAGATCGACTCGAGTATATTTCGAGTGGTTTTCAAAGAACAGTGATTCACGATGTTTTCGAGCGACGTCGGCGTCAGCGCGAAGTCGAAGGCATTGGAGTATTTTTACTTTCCTTTGAGAATAGAATCGAGTCTATTAATTACAATGACGCACTTCCCGCCCTATGCTCCGACTCCAGTAGAAACCGAGACGATCAGACTTCAATAACATCTGTTTTGTATACTGGATCCTCGCTCTCTTGATAACACTATCGCATTTTCAATGCATGTAGTTTTATATTTCCAATTTTGTAGATGCGCTGTTTCATATAAAAGTTGTGTTATAGGGAAGAGTGTTCCCAGAATAAGTCAACCAATTCTAACACTAAATTATCATAAATATGTAGATATAGCATCAAATAATCAAATATTACTATCAATATTATATATCATTGTTATGTCCGTTACAAGTATAATGCACATAATAATATAAAGCTAATATCATCATAAATAGAAAATTATTATTCATTTATGCAATATATATTTCTAATGTTAATTCGTATAAAGTATATATGACCAAGGTCAGTTTAAATGCGAACGGAACTGTGGGCACGTAGATACCTAATATGATTTATTATAACTTTAATAATAAGATTATTGCCGTCCTATTACTAAAATGTTGAAGTGTGCGGAAAGTTAAGTTTCTAAAAAGAAGAAAGAAGTCATGTATTTCAAAAAAAGATTTTTTTATTGATTTATAAAATAAGTTATATATATATAAAATTCAGTTCATTTAATGTAGTAGCATTAAATGAACTGAATTTTATAGATCGAGTAGGTCACAGCACACTATTACTATCCATCCACCAAGAGTAATCGGCGGCATTGGACATCAAACACACACAAGTTTTTTTTTTGTTGATCGATTGTGTCGTTTTACATACCAGTACTATTAATAAACTGTTGTAAACGTTAATGCGTTATGTGCGCTATTTTCGCTCAATTCGTGGCAACGTTTTGACGTTATAACAAACTGTTACTATAAAATGAAATTAAGCATTTAAAGGGCCTAAAATTAATTTCATTCTAAATATACTTGTTAGGTATATGTGTCGAATGACGCATGGTAAACTAATACCTGTTAATCAAAAGATTATACCTAATTATTTCCCTACGTTTTTAATTGTAAATACGTACTATGCCACTACTATGTGGGCAGTAGTAGCATATTGTATGGAAACCTATATTATTTCTGCTCTACCTAATTGTGCCACCTCAGTTTATCAAATCTTCATTTATTATTTAGTTTATTATATCTGTTTAATATATTTACTATTACTTTGCTCATGTGCACCTAAGATATCATGTTCTACTTTATCACACACCAATCCACGCTGGACGTGAGACTTGGCAGACGGATTGCCGATTCCATTCCCAGACGTCGTGCAACTTTGCCGCTACTCCAGCTGCTGCAGTATGGTCGCATGGTGTAAAAGGGATAGTTACACTGCCATATATCGGAAACTGTGAGATCTTTTTGAATCTTCCAATATACACCTGATTAATAGCATCGTGTCTCTAGTATGTAGACACCATGTCCAAAGTGCGGACCACGTTTACCCAAAAAAAAAACAATGTGTTTAAATGGAAAATTCTGAAAAAAGTTATTGGTGGGTAGCTTACAACTTACACAATCAAAAATCCAATGTATCATCAGACGCCTTTTACGACAGACAAGTTATACGAGTAAGTTCTTCTTAGTTATAAGTTCTACATAAATTTAGGACCTTTTGGAAGCCCCATGTTGGTCTTACCAACATGGGGCTTCCAAAAGTCAGACATGAGGAAATTTGTTATGGATCTACTTACACCACCACTCGACAAATAGTGGGAGATGGCTCTTTGTAATGTCAGAAGCATATTGTGGTCTCTAACAGCAGCAATGGCGGATGGAACGAATAACTACTTATGGAGAGTCTTTGTCCATAAGAAGAATTTTTACGGGTAGAAATAAATTGCACTCACAAAATGTGCGCTGGACTAAGTCACGTGCTCTCGTCGAAAGAGTTCAATTCACTATTTTCATCTGAATACCAATATCTACTATTTTTTACGCAGCGCAAATATTTAAAGGAAGGAAGGTCAAGGTGAAGCCAATATCGCAAATACCGTTCGCTAAATAAATTAAATTTATCAACATCTGTATACAACAAATTACTTACAAAGAAATATTTTTTTTTATTTTCGATTGTTTGTTATTCGGATTCCCATTATCATCACCATAGAAGAAAGAATGACGAAGAGAACGAGCACACTACCCTTGTAGTAAATAGATCCTGTTGCCTATAGACACCTTCATCTATACTCAATTAAGAATTGAAATGAATAGGACTAAGATCGCCGGGCTAATAATAAAAAGGATCTCAAGTTTGAAACACAAAAGTATTGTTCTGCTATTTCATACTGGTATTCTATACCAAAGTGGTCTCTCCCTTGTGGAGCAGAGCCATTGGTTCTGCACCTTTAATACGATGCAGCATGTCTCTAATGCGCTGAACTCTACTCTCATATCTAACTCTAACTCTAGTATCTCATTTTCTACCCTCATATGTACATACGTACGTGTTTCACAAATAACCGTGTTTCCAGGACTTGTCCGCTGCGGACGCGGAGGGTGTATGGAGTCCGGACATCGAGCAGAGCTTCCAGGAGGCGCTGGCAATTTACCCGCCATGCGGCCGCCGCAAAATCATCCTCTCCGACGAGGGCAAGATGTACGGTGAGTCCGGACATGCTAGAGGAACTTTATCGCAAGTACTGTTTAAGAACGATGAGTGCTTTATTTTTTAACCAATTCGTGCTACAACCATAATATAGCTACAGCGTGGCTCTAACTAACATGTGCGATAAAAGGGGAAAGTTAAAAACTATAAATCATAAACAAAACTAGCTATAATAAACCTAATCATTCCTTGATATTCATCCTATTTAAATATGAATGTAAAATATCATTAAATATGCACTATGCACTGTATGAAGAAGATAATGAATCTGAAAGAAGCGAAAGAGGTATGTAAGGATCGTGACACTTGGCGATCTGTTCTCTCTGGCTACCCCGTCAGGGATTGTGCGTGAAGATAAGTAAATATGCACTGAAAATCCGATATATACAAATTAATGTTTGTTGGTATTTTATGCGCTGCCGTACCATACGGTTCATCAGATTGCATTGATTGTATTTTTCAGTTATTGATCAAACATTATTTTAATTCTGTTGGAAACACAATATTGTTTGATATTTAGATAAGTGTCAAGGCTCTCCGTCAACTCACTAGCTTTTCCGCCGTCCTGACCCGTCGAAAGATTTGTATATCTATATCATACTTTCAACCTTTGTAAATAGCATTGAATGAAGTACTAAAAGTCAAACAAGTAATGTAGATGATTTACATTCATAACGACCTACTCAGCTCTATGAAAATACAGTTTCACTTTTCAAAATATAGTTTTCAGTGCCTGCGAGGCCATCTTCTGTTCTACCATTATCAATACTTTTTTCAAACTTGTCAAAACGCAAAGTAAACCTAGATACTAGATACCTAGATTAATAAGTATTTTTGCCATGGAACGAATTGATTAGAATGACGGGTGTTCGTAAATTTAGTAACACGTTGTAATATTAATCAAGTGGTTATCTTGTACGTTGTCACTAATTCAATCTCATTACTTACTCGTACTCGACTCGTTCGTATTATGAAATGACATCAAGGTCGTCCTAAAATGAACAATGGTCGAGGCACGAGACAAAAGACGCGGTAGGTATTGATGGGCGCCGACAAAGCGGTTTGCGCAATCGGATTCCACGGAAAGACGTGAACCGACAATTATTATCTCCGGATCGCTCCGTGTCGCCAATTCGAGGAAGTTGAGAGGATTCGCTTTGCTTTTGTCCCCTCTTCACTATTAACTGAATATGGGACAAAATAACTCTTAGTGGGAAGAGAAAATAGTAAAAGGAAATAGTTTAGAGAATTCCAAGGGTTTTTTTTTATAGGATAAGGGTGACAAACGAGCACACAGTCCACCTGATGGTAAGTGGTTGCTGCGGCCCATAAACATCTACATCTATCCTCTATTACAAATCAATATATAGATGCGTTGTCACCCGTGAGGACTAAGATGGAATGCCTCATTTCCAGTAAAAAGGGCCTCCGGCCACCTGCACTCGCCAAGCGAAACGCAGAGATAAACCTCTACTTCACGCTGGTTTTCTGTGAGGTCGTGGTACGACCCCGGTTCGAGCCGGCCCATCCATGCGACAGCAAAAGCTGCCGCGTGGCTCTACCATTGTTAATAAGATGTTAAAATAAGATGAAACTTATGAAACTTTCATTAAATAAAACTTTTTAAATTAAGGTTTATGACTATAATCGGCATCGTTTAACAGTATAAAATAACTGTTTCAGATAATTACAAAACAGTAATTAATTTAATTATAATATAAATTAATTATTAACCTAATCCTTCTACAGCGGAATAGACCCATTACCAGTGCAGTGGACTATTAATGGGAAATTATTATGTGCAATTTCGAGAGAGCTTAATAAACCTCAAATGTGTAATTCCGAGAATCCGTATTGAGTCTCAATAGGATAGACCATGCTAAAGTTGTAAATGTATGTAGTTATAAAGCCTAGAATTAGTAATAAGTGAAATTTACTAATGGAGTTTATGTAACAATCACAATATTATATAGTTGTAATCATTACTTAGACGCATTATATAAAATGTACCTGCAACCGGGCTTTGCTCGGAGTTTCATATTTCTGACGCCAAATAGCAGTGCGGGTACCTACTGCTGTTTGCTGTTTGGCGGCAGAAATAGGTTAGAGAATGGTACCTACCCAGACGGATCCATAGATAGATAATATTATACAAGAATTGCTCACTTAAAGTATAAAGTATATTTATATAAAATTATTCAGAAACATAAAAAAACTTACTGCGATAATCAACGAACCATAAACCATTTCAGGAGCTTGTGATCCTAGTGATATTGCTAATGTATTTAGAGAATACTTTAGAGTGGAATCACTGGAACCCACAGAGCCGCCGGTGTCTGATGCTGAGGCAGGTAGTCCTAAGCGTAGTGTATTTTACCGCCAAAGATGTAGCTAAAGTTATTAAGTGCGTGGTGCAAGTCGCCTGGGTATGACCACCTCAGCATCGAACACCTGCAGCATGCTGGAGTTCATTTGCCAAGGGTTTTGTCTTTGTTGTTTAATTTGTGTATTGGGCATTCATATCTCCCCGACAAATTGATGCGAACTATTGTTATTCCTATTCCAAAATACAAGACCGGTGACGCCTCTGACGTGTCCAACTATAGGCCCATCTCCCTTGGTTCTGTGATCGCTAAGGTACTGGACAGTTTGCTTAACAGGTTCCTGGATAAGCACATCTCGCTTAATGATGCTCAATTCGGCTTTAGACCAGGTCTTTCCACCGAGAGTGCTATCCTGTGTCTCAAGCAGACTGTCCAGTATTACACAGCAAGGAAGACACCTGTGTTTGTTTGTTACCTGGACCTATCAAAGACGTTTGACCTAGTGGCTTACCAATGCCTGTGGGACAAGATGAGATCTGAGACTAGCCTGCCCGAAGAAGTTATATTGCTCTTTCAGCACTGGTATAGCAACCAAAAGAACAATGTCAGCTGGGCAGGCTCGCTCTTAGAAGAATACAGATTGGAGGGCGGTCTAAGCTCTCCTACGTTCTTTAACTTATATATGAATAGGCTCCTTGATGAGCTCAGCAGTACCGGTATCGGTTGTCACATAGACGGAGTTTGTGTTAATTACATAAGTTATGCAGATGATATGGTTCTGCTGAGTCCATCAAGTGCAGCCTTAAAGAAAATGTTAACCATAATATGCGAGTCCTATGCTGTGGCCCAGGGGCTCAAATACAATGCTGCCAAGAGGGAATTCATGATGTTCAATCTGGACCACAAGCGATACACTAATGTACCACTTTTTAAGCTCTGTGGAACCCCCTTGAAAAAAGTTGAGACCTTTAAGTACCTGGGTCACTGGATCACAGAAGACCTGAATGACAACCATAATATTGAGAGGGAGCGGAGGTCGCTGTCTGTCCGCTGTAATATGTTGGCCCGCAGATTTGCTAAATGTACTGACGAAGCAAAGGTTACGCTTTTCAAGACGTACTGTCAGTCATTTTATACGTGCAGTCTGTGGATTAACTTTATGCAGAGGACATACAGTGTTCGCGTACAATACAATAACGCGTTCCGGGTATTGATGGGGCTCACGTAAATGAATTCGCCGCCATAATGCGTAAACGTTGCGCTTCACACCTCGGGCGCATTCGCGACAGCCCCAACAGTATCTTGCGCGCGTTGGCAGACTGTTGAGGCTCGACGATGCTTGCTCGATGAATACGGCTACACACAGTCAAGTAGCCATCTTGCTGGCAGCGGCGGGTGCCATATTTGTTTGTCTGTGTTTTATGTTGAATTGTCCAATTACTAACTTTAGTTATAAGCTTAATTGTTACTAACTCATATGGATCATGATGTCCGAAATAAACGTTTAGTATTATTATTATTATAAAAAGTACACCATATACATGATGTAGGTTGTAAAATCTATTATCACATAGGAAGAAAGTAACGTTAAGGGCATTTTCATATTAATTAATAGAGCTTGTCCTCCCACTAGATGGAATGACGACCCGGTAACGGTGACGAACCCTGTGCTTTGTGGCATTCTTTGGAGGAGGCCTATATTCAGCTGTGGGCTTGCGAAGGGCTATATCATTATATGATGATAATTAAGATGAAATAGAGCTTAGGCCTTAAAAAAGACTGTCTGAACTGTGATGTCGTAAATCACTTTGTGCTCTGTGTACTGGATGTGTTGTGATTGTTCCCCTGTGTCTGACGTTGCATCCAACGCTTTCTTTGATCTTATCGCTTATGTGTTATATGAACAGGGTTAGGTTAGTATATAAAGCTTAATATATACACTTTTGTGAACATTAAGTCAAGTAACTTATCGTTGTATTTATTTTTATAGTACTCTTATAGCGTTAACAATTGTAGGAAGTCAACAATTTGTAGAAAGTCTTATTACATCTGTATAGTTGCTTTCTCAAGAAAAAAAATCAACTTTGCTAAGCCTGCAGGTACGGGTAGGTAAGGTTGAGGAAGTAATTCTTGTGGCACTGTATATGTCACCTGTGAAATTGGTAGTTTCAAATTATTCGAAAATTGTCGTCGTGGCCAACAATCATTATCATTTGTAGCAGTGGACTTACGGTGATGAGATATTTACGATACTTAATTGTAAGTGGAGGTGGTAGAATTCTTTTTGTACCAAGGTATATGTCTGGGTAGGTACCACTCTCTTATCTGTTTCTGCCGCCAAATGCAATGAGAGAAGATAAGAGAGCCAGTAGAATTATAATTACAGGATATGAGACATTCCATCTTAGTCCTCAGAGGTGCGAAACGTATCTGTAGCAATTTTAGGTTGGCTGCAGGTGTTCATGGACTGTACATTAGTTTGTCAATTCAGTTTTAAAACAAAAATATTAGTATATGTGATTAGAGCGGTCAATAAGCCGTAAAAATCATTCATTCATTACGGCCTATCAAATTCCACTGCAGAATATAGGCTTCTCCATAGAATGCTTCTTATGGTGGTTTGCCATAGTTGCCACGCTTATTTATTCTAGTTGTTATTGTTGAAAGACGCT